TAAGAAAATTATAATTGCAGATATATATATATATATATATATATATATATATATATACAATATGTACATGTCAATACTTAGTCGTGGTGGCGCCCGGCTCCTCAGCGACAATCGCGATGGGTGCTGCTACATCAGTAACTTTTAGAGCCTTCCTGGCTGCTATCAATCGGCCGGAGCAGCGTGGCCACATCCGTATCATAAGCAGAATTAATAGTAGTGCCATGACGGAGAGGACCGCCATCCCTACCACAAAGGCGATAATGCTCCTGAAATGAGTAGTCAAATACTATTTTAAAAGTGTTTGAAAATAACTTACATGCCCATAGGCTTACACAATTCATCCATTTGTACTATGAGCTTCTTTTTTGGGGCTAAAGTTTTCATGCCATTATCAAGCATCTAAATAGCAAATAAGAAAAGCAATTGACGTTTTTGCATTCAAATGGCTATCAAATATCTCGTTACAACAAATTTATGCAGCTACAACAACTACAAAATTATTGAGCGTGTATTAACAACTTCTTGAAAATTTGGTCAAGCTCAGCAGCGGGCTGAGCAGGAGCAGAACTACTACAAGGAGCGGGAGGGGAGCAGCTGGAGAAGGAGCGATAGCAGAACCAGGGGAGGGAGCAGGAACGACCCGATTAAACGCCCTCCATGATCCTGACGAATCGATCCCAACAGACGCATGAGAGCACCAAAAGCAGCACGGTGAATAAAACACTACCGCTGCTTCAGCTATGGAGGAACACAGATATCTGCAACAATCAAATTAGCAAAACTCTGGAAGAGAGAGCAAGAAAGACCTACTTTAGAAGCATGTATTCCTCGCGTGAACATCCCGTCAGAGCTCTCATTTCATCGGGATAGAATATTCTACCCTTCATTTCGGACTGAAACAATATGCTGTGAAGTATTGTAAAACACAGATGATGTAGAGGAAAACCAAAAGAGAAGTTGGAGGACGGGACTGCATGAGTTGGAGAAATGTTTGAGACTAAATGAGGATGTCGCAATAACAAGTGAGATGATCACATGGTACCATTCGACAACATCCAATGGGACCATAGCATATTGTTTGCGAAACACTCACGATACGATTTCACAAGACACCATAAGACCAATCCATACTATGGTAAAATACCCGTTTCGTTCCTGCCCTTAGACGGGATGAATTACATGGTAATAAGGTAAAGAATGCCTTCCCCGAAACTCTCCAGTAAGGAAGGAAGGCATAGCAAAATTTTATTTGGGAATATCCTTCGCAAACCTATCCAATAATCACTTAACTTGCCACTTTGATATGTCTCGCCACTTCAGTGGTAATGTTGCAAAATATACTACAATAATCAAAGTTTCCAAAGTAATTGAGACGAATTATGCTTACCTGCATTGCGTGAAGACCATCAAA